TTGTTTGTGTGTTTTTTGTTTGTTCGTCTGTTAGTTTGTTTTCTGGCTGTCGGTTTGTTTGTTGGTTGTTTTTTTTAAAGTTTGTCTGTTTGTTTGTCTGTCTGTTTGTTTTTTTCGGTTTGTTTATATAATTTTGTTTGTATGTTTGTTTGTATGTTTGTTTGTTTGTAATTGAGGATCATTGCTAGAAGAAACAGGAACAGAATATCCCTTAGGGAGCTTATTGCTTGTTTGTGTGCTAGTCTATGTGTGTTTGTTTGTCTGTCTGTCGTGTTTGTTTATTTATTTGCTTGTCTGTTGGTTTATTTGTTTTTTGTATGTACAAACAGACTAACAAAGAAACAGACAAACAAATAAACAAACAAACAGTTACACAGACAGGCAGACAAACAAACAGACAAAAAACAAACAATCCATCAAACAAACAAACAGACAGACAGACAAACAAACAGACAAACTAACAAAAACATACACACAGACAGGCAGACAAAACAAACAAACAAACAATCTGCGCCCTTAGTGATACTCTGTTTCTGTTTCTTTATAATTGCAATGATTCTCAATTACAATTACAAATAAACAAACTGACCGAAACAGGCAAACAAACAAACTAACAAAATAAACAAACAGACACATAGGCAGACAGACAAACAAACAAACAATCCGCTCACTTAGTGATACTCTGTTTCTGTTTCTTCATAATAGCAATGATTCTCAATTACAATTACAATTAAAAACAAATAAAACAAACAGATAAACAAACAAACAGACAAACAAACACACCGACAGAAAACAGGCAGGCAGACAAACGGACAAACAAACAAACAAACCGACACAAAAAAGCAAGCAAACAAACACACAAACACACACATAGACAGGCAGACCAACAATATGTTAACTCAGTGATACCCTGTTTCTGTTTCTTCATAATTGCAACGATTCTCAATTACAATTACAAACAATCATACAAACAAACAGACAAACCAACAAACTAACAAACAGACAAAAAACTGACAGAGAAACAAACAAACAGACAAACAAACTGACAGAGAAACAAACAAGAAACAGACTGACAAACAGACAAGCAAACAGACAAACAAACAAACTGACAGAGAAACAAACAAACATACAGGAAGACAAACAAAAAAACAGAGAGACAAACAAACAACAAACAAACACACAGACAGGCAGAAAGACGGACAGACAAACATACAAACAAATAGACAAACACAGACAGATAGACAAACAAATAGACAGAACGACAAACAGACAAAACAGACAGACAAACCAACAAACAGGCAGACAGACATAAAAACAAACAAACAAACAGTTAGACAGACAGGCAGACAAACAAACAAACAAAATAACACAGACAGACAAGAACAAACAAACAGACAGACACACGAACGAACAAAAACCAATAAACACAAAAGACAAACAAACAAACAGACAGACAAACAAAAAACAGACAGACAGACAGACAAACAGACGTAAAACAGACAAACACATATATACAAACAAAGCGACAGACAAACAGACAAAACAGATATACAGACAAAGCAACAAACAATTAAAAAGACAATAAAAAGACAAGACAACCAAACAAAAGACAGACAAACTAACAAAAAGACAACAAAGAAACAATCAGACAAACAAACGAACAATCACACAGACGGACAAACTATCAAAGAAACAAAGAGACAAAAAACAAACACACACACAGACAAACAGACAAACAAACAAACAGACATAAGATATACAGACAAATAGATATAAAGACAAACAAACAAACAATTAAAAAGACAAACAAAAAACAGACAAACTAACAACAGACATCAAACAAACAGACAAACAAACCAAAAAAAGACAAACCAAAAAACAAACAAACAGACAAACAAACACACAGACAGATATACAGACAGACAGAGAAACAGACAGACAAAAACAGACTTATAAACAGGCAGAGAAATAACAACCAAACAGACAAAAAACAAACAAAGAGACAAACAAACAAACAAAGAGACAAACAAACAAACACACAGACACACAATCAAATAAATAAGACAAACAAACAAACACACAGACAGACAAACAAACAAACACACAGACAGACATACAAACAAACACACAGACAAACAGACAGACAAAAAACAGACTTAAACAAGCAGACAACAAACAAACAAACGGACAAACAAATAAAAACACACAGACAAACAAACAATTAACAGACAAAAAACAGACAGACAGACAAAAAACAAACAAAAACAGGCAAACAAACAAACAAACACACAAAAACAGACAGACAGACAAACAGGTAGACAGACAGAAAACAAACAAACAAACAAAGAGACAGACTAACAAACACACAAACAAACACAAAACAGACAAAAAACAAACAAACAAAAAACCGACAAAACACAAACAAACACAAACAAACAAGCAGGAATACAGCTAGAAAGACAAACAAACAGTTACACAGACAGACAGGCAGACACGTAGACAAACAAACAAACAGACAATTAAACAAACAATCAAACAAACACACAGACAGACAGACTAACAAATAAACAAACACACACACACACATAGAATGCAGACAAACAAACGTACAATATGCTCCCTTAGTGATACTCTGTTTCTATTTCTTCCATTTGCAATGATTCTCAATTACAATTATAAACAAACAGACGGACAGACAGACAAACAAACAAACCGACAGACAAACAGACAGACAAAAACAGACACAGACACACAAACAAACAAAAAAGTAACTGACACACAAACATACAGACAACAAGCAAACAAACATACACATAGACTGGCAGACAAACAAACAAAAAAAACATCTGCTCCCCAGTGATACTCTGTTTCTGTTTCTTCATAATTGCAATGATTCTCAATTACAATTACAAACAAACAGACAGACATACAAACAACCAGATATACAGATAAACAGAAAAACAAACAGACAAACAAACAGGCAAACAAACTAACAAACAGACAAACTAACAAACTGACAGAGAAACAAACAAACAAACAGACAAACAAACAAACAGGGAGACAAACAAAAAACAAAACAAAAACCAGACAGACAGACGGACAAACAGACAAACAGACAGGCAAACAAACAAACAGAGAAACAAACACACAATCAAACAAACAAACAAAAACAGACAGACACAAACTAACAAACAAACAAACAATGTACTCCGTTAGTGATACTCTGTTTCTGTTTCTTCATAATTGCAATGATTCTCAATTACAATTGCTTGACATAGTAATCATACTTCTTACAAAATAATTAAAACAAACGAACAAAAGAACAAATAAACAAACAGAAAAACAGACCAAGTAAAAATCAAACAAACAGACAAACAACAAACAGACAAAACAAACAAACAGACAGACAAACAAACAAACAATCAAACAAACAAATACATGGACAGACAGACAAACAGACTAACAAAAAAACAAACACACACATAGACTGGCAGACAAACAAACATACAATATGCTCCCCTTATTGTCCCCTCCCCCTGTTTCTATTACTTCATAATTGCAATGATTCTCAATTACAGTTACAAACAAACAGACAGACAAACAGAGAAGCAAACAAACAAAAAACAGCCACATAGACAGGCAGACAAACAAACAAACAACAGACAGACAAACAGACTAACTAACAAACAGGCAAGCAAACTGACAGAGAAACAAACAAACAGACACACAAACAGACAAACAAACAGACAAACAAACAAACAGAGAGAAAACAAAAAACAAGAAGAAACCAGACATACAGACGGACAGACAAACAAACATACAAACAAACACAAACAAATAGACAAGGACACAGACAGACAAACAAACAGACAGAACGACAGACAAAAACAGATAGACAGACAAACAAACAGGTAGACAGACAGAAAAACAAACAAACAGTTAGACAGACAGGCAGACAAACAGACAGGCAAACACACAAACAAATAAACAG